AGGAAAAAAAGAGTAAACTAATATTGTTAATTGTAGCTGTGTTCTACTTTTTTTTTTTCATAATCCTACATGTGTAGTAGAAGGAATATATAATAATATAAAAAAGTTCATAATTAGTGAAAGTATTTTTTAACATATCGAAAATTAAATATGCTGAGAAACAGAAAAGGCACACAACTGCAATCTTAAAAAAAAAACACAAAACAAACTAATATAATATTTATTTTTCTTTGTAGGTGACGTGAACCTCTTCTGTTATAGTTTAAAATCTACATGCATAAAAAAATTTAAAACAAATAATCATATATATTCTTTTCTTATAAATTGTAAAATCGTAAAAAATAATAAAATTGATTTATTTATACACAATTTTGTAAGTGCGAGAACTGCTGTAACAAAGAGTACTACAAGTACGTAATACAGAGCAAATGCGACAGTTGCTGATACAGGCAACCAACACAAATAACAAAGGGTTTTTTTCTCAAAAATATATTTCTAGATCAATCATCAAGCGTACTTACAAGTTCCACTCACTCTCCTTAATCTAGCCTCTCACGTTCAAGAATCTATCCCAATCCATGAACCAACTACAACTACACCTTAGCCTCTTTGACAAGGATCTCTTACAAGACAACNCTTAATCCCCTTTGCTAAGGCATATTGCTTACTAGAAGATCTTTTAGATGCATTTACGAGTTCCACCTAAAACAACCTATCTAGCCTCACGTGTTCATGAATTTATACACGATACAAGAACCTTATAAGATAAACTCTTAGTTCCATTGTTTTGTGTTCTTTCATGAACTCCCTAAAACCTTTACTAAGAATTTTTTCACATCGTGGGGGTCAAGCTCTACAAAACAATTCTCTCACATCGTGGGGGTCGAGCTCTACAAAACTCACGCCCTCCTATTTATATACGGCTAACCCTAGACTTCATCTCCAAGTCTTGATGATATCAAATCTTCAAGAATATTCTCCCTTTCCTTATTCTTAGCCAAGAGATAAGGAAGGTTTTCAATGCTTTTTAATCATCTCCAAGGCACTTCTCCATCTCTACTCCACGTCTAAGCTTGTCCTTGACACTTGAGTTGCTTGGTCCAGCCCATCTTATTAAGTCCATGTGGTTTTAAGTTCAATCCAGTCCGCTGTAGCACTTTCAGTTCGATGTAGTACTTTCTGTAATACTTCTCGACTGGTACATGAAACTGTTTCAACAACTTCATCTTCATGTTTCACCTGCTTTACCATCAGCTTCTAAACTCCTTTGTATCAGCTCATACTGAATTCTAAAGCTCATCCAACATACACTTTCAAATTTTATATTCGAATCACCTAGTTTTTGTTTATTTGTCAACAAATAACAATTTCTTTAAAAAGGTAGGAAAGTAATAAAAAGAGAAATTAGCATGTATATTAGTCTCTCCACCTATAATTAATTATCTAACATCATATAAAACATAATGTAGTAATTAGCATTTATGTTAGATTAAATTCCGGTTTTGTCCTTCTATAATTAATACAGATT